GAGCAGGGAGCCCGATGCGGGACTCGATCCCAGGACCCTGGGATCATGACCTGAGCCGAAGGCAGACGCTTAACCATCTGAGCCACCCAGGCGCCCCTCAATACACTTTTCTTGAGGGATGAGCACACCTCCAGGAAATGGCTTTGAAGAAACCAATTTTTATAAAAACAAACTTAAAAGCATGGAAAACAAACTGAAAAGCATGGAAATCCCTTAAAAATCGTACAGTCTATGTCGTTCTGTAAAGCTGCATCGAGTTCCTGGAAGAGAGCACAAGGAAGTAGATGTACACACCACATGGATGCTTGCTCTGGCCACTGCCAGTCTTGGGGGCCGCCGGGGTTTCAGCAATAAAACAAAGCATGCCAGCCCCCTGCATAATTCATACCAAATGTCTTCCCTAATTGCGGGGAACTCCCGCTACTTGAGGAAGGGATTAACACATCATCCACCAGAGAGATGGAAATTAATCCCCAGGTTGAAAGTTCAGGTTTTCACATGCTACACCGTATAAGCAAAATGACAAGGGGAAGCCTGGGTGTTGCGGTCAGTCGGTCAGGGCGGCAAGGGTGGAGACTCTCTCTGTTACACGGGAACACTGTGACATGACAGTTACATCAAGGTTACACCAAGGCCCATGTGCGCCCCCGGCTCCTTCCCACTGTCTTTTCATCCTTTCCACTCCGCCTGACAAATCCCATTCTAGAGACTATTTCTGATCATACATCCCGGCCAGCAAATATCGTTTTGTTGTACCTTTTTGGCTTAAAACAAAGGCCCCCCACTTGTCCTGCCTGCTGCATCCCGAATCAAACCCTGGACCCCGCCCCCCGCCCCCCAGCCACACTCCCAGCAAGAGCTCAGATGACACTTGCAGTGAACAAGGCTCAGAAACCGCAGGAAAAACCCTCAGTCCTCCGCAAACTCCTTCCCTCTTTGGTACTGTGTGGCCAAGAGGTACACCTCTGACGACTCCTTCCTGCTGGCTCTGGGTTTCACCGTCCTGGTGCTCTGGAACTGCTCTGTCAGTCGCTTCTGTAACGCCAGGCTTTGACTTCCAGCCCACGTTTTGCAGAGGAATGTTCCGCCAGGGTGCAGGACATCTGAAGCCAGGTCCAGAAGGGATGAGCACAAGCCAATGAGCCTGTCGTGATCCAGGCTCCGGATCCCTGTGGCGTTGGGTGCCATGTCACTCAGAATCACATCTGCTCTCCCTCCAGGAAGCAGTTCTTGGATTCTCTGGAGGATTCTTGGGTCAGTCACATCAGCCGGGCACAGAAAAGTTGCTCCCTCCAGGGGGAGTATGTGAAGAAGATCTACCCCAAGCACAAAGCCAACAGGAGCACTGGGATCTAAAGAAGACAGGGTGAGTCCATTATTTACACTCTGAACCATCCCTCAGAAATCCGAATAGAAAAACAGAAATACAAATAGAAAAACAAATAAAAAGTCAGGATGAAGGACAGGAGCAAACATGAAAGATGTGGACACAAGGCCCTTCCCCTGCTCTATCCGTCTACAGAGGCTGGCCTCACTCTGCATGTGAGGAATCTGGGGCCCAGAGAAAAGCGCCTGTCCCAGAGCACAGGACTCCAACTCTGATGTCATGTCACTTCCCGAGGCCTGCTCTCTGTGAGGGGTCTTATCTCTGAGCGGCCTTTCTGACAAACTAGAACAGAAAAGGACACACTAATACATAAAGTACCTCTGCATTAAATCAACATGTCTATTCTGCAGCTTAATCCAATTTCTTTCAATGCAGAAACTACTAGAAACGAGCCAAGAAATGGGGGATAGAGACCGGTGGAAGACAAGGTACAGAACGTGACCCCTCACCCCGGTTTGAGAGGCACCCACAGCGCAGTAAAGAGGCCACTGTTTCACCAGCCCCGAGCAGGCCCTGGTGTCCCCTGTCCGGGGAGGGCCCCTGCTCTGCAGGGGGGACTAGTTCAGGGTGCATAGACTTGCTGGTTCCCTCTGCTTAGCAGAGAGGCTGTTCCATGGTGGGGTAATGTGCATTTTACTCCTAGCTAAAGACTAGAAGTCAGGTATTTTGCAGAGGACATTTTTCAAAGGAGAAAATGCCATTTTCACTCCTGGAAAGGAGGACATCCCACATCTCATTTTACGCACTTGACTTTCTTTCCTTTGATATCCCATGTGTTCTAACCTTGGGGAGGGTCCACTAGAGGCAAATGGCTTTGGGTGCCTTTTCCAACTTCTGGGAGGAAAAGAAACCCAATCATTTTATCCACACTCTTTGCCTCTGCCACGTTCTTCCTACAGGTTAAATTTGGCCATTTTCCTCCTTCTCCTGAAGAGCAATTACGGGGACAGGAAGCACTTGTTAGGTCTATGGATAGGCTCAGGGGCAGGAAAAGGACCTAAAGTCTCTGACACAAATGCCTTCACTTAGGCGGTGTTTACCGAGCTACAAATACGGTTTTTCTCCCTGTTCTAGAGCCGCTGGAGGCATCCCGCCCACAGTAACAAGGCTGGGTCTTAGCCGTGAACCCAGGGAGCAGCGCTCCCAGCCTCTCTCTCAGCAGATCAGCAAATTCCTCTGAACCTCATTTTTCATTAGGACAACGGGCACAGAGCCCTCATTCTGCGTGTCGGAGAAAGGTTCTTGTGAATCGGCACATTTCATGTAATGCCAGGGACCGTGGTACCCTCCGACTTTAGGGTAGGAAAGAAAGGGGGAGGGATGCTCAGCACCGCGGGGTGCACACTAGCAGAACACCTGGGAAAGGAGGCTGGCCGAACAGCACAGCTGTCCTCTGGAGTTCTGCACAAGCATTCAAAAGGACAACATGGTTTTCTAAATTGAGGGTACAGGCTTCCCTGTTGATTAATCAGGGGAACCATTTTCCATATAGAAAGTCTTTGACGAAATCCTTAAATACAAGACCGCAAAAGCTGAGTCCCTCAGGCTGAGCCAGAGGAGAGAACCCAGAGCCCCAGCCACGGGTGCTCCCGGACCAGCCCTAGCGGGACCTCGGGGACACCCAGGGCTTCAAGGACCAGGACCTGGAAACCCCTGTGGTTGATGCAGCTGTGCTGTCGCGGAAAGATGTCAATATATCAGTACATGGGAAAAAACAGCTCCATTAAGGCTCCAAATCAGCAAGACGAACGTGGATGTGGAATACTAGCGTTTTTGAAAAAGGAAATACACGTATGTAGTTATGCATGCAAAAGCGAATTCTGGAAGGGGGCACGCCGACGCACTGACGGACATACAGACGCGGTGTGACTTGAGGTGCTTTAAATCTTCACTACAGCTTTCCACCGGGTCCGTCATTTTGAAAACATCAGTGTCCCGCTTTCACCCCTCTTACTACCAAACAAGCCACCAAGTGGCTGGGCCACCCCGAATCCTCCGGTGGAGGGCAGCCGGCTTGCGCCTCCACACCCAGGGTGGTCAGAGGCCCCACCTGTGCCCGCAGCGTTGACCCTCCGCACGGCCACCTGGCTCCACGCCCCGGGGGCCGCCCCACAGTCTAGCACCCGGAGGCCGGGCCGCAGGATCCGGTGCCTCTCGTCCACCTGCAGGAGCTTGAAGGCACTTCGGCACCGGTAACTCTCCACCTTTGCGGCCTTCACAAAGGGGTCCTTCAGCTGGCGCATCAGCCACAGGCGCTCAGCACCGGTCCGACCCCTGGAGTGACTCCCAGCGGTGTGAAACCTTTGACACTGAAGGGACGCGCCTATCAGCTTCAAGGACCTGCTGCAGAAAAGGGGAGTAAACAGGCTGGCATCACACAGACAGGCAGGCTCCCTGGTTCAACCCACGTGTTTGTAGAGATGGTGCCCGGAGGCCCGAGAGGGGAGGAGACTTGGCAAGGCTACCCAGCCAGAAAGCAGGCGGAATGGGGTGAACGGAGTCCCTCCCCAAATTCGTGTGTGGAAGTCCTAACCCCAGGTACCTCAAAATAGAACTGGTCTTTAAAGAGGTGGTTCAGTTAAATGAGGCCAGATGGGTGGCTCTGAATCCAATATGACTGGTGTCTTCATCAAACACAGGACAGACGTGTACAGAGGAAGGACCAGGGGTGGGGCCACAGGGAGACGGCAGCCACATACAGGCCAAGGAGAGGGGCCTCAGGAGAAACCAGCCCTGCCGACACCTTGAGCTGGGGCTGCAGCCCCCAGCACTGAGTGGGCAGTTTGTGTTGTTCCGGCCGCCTGGCCTGGGTGCTGGCTCCCCGCGCCCAGGAGAGCGAGCACAGCAGGCGTCACCTTGTAGCAAAGAAGCGTCTTTCGCTCACGGAAGTCTTCGGAAGGAAGACTCAAACGTCACTGAGAGTCACTTTGCTTGTGTCAACCCACCTTCTTCCAGCACTGGTTAAGAGTACCGTTAACATTAACAAAGGTAACACTCCTGCTCACCCGGTACAACTTTTCCTTGGGCTCTGCGGGACTGCAAGGGAACCCCCCCGGGGACAGACCCTTGCCCTACTCAGCTCCATGTCTGTGGGGGCCAACACAGGGCCTTACCAGTCACACTGCCGCATACAACTGAACTCTACCTGTGTGAGCAGCTGAAGGACAATTTCCAAGTCTCTTTGGCAAAGTCAAGTTTTTAACAGTTTATTGACTGCCAGGAGCTCCCCCTACATCCCCTCACGAACTCTCAGCACAACCGTACAAACTAAGTTCTGCATCCATTTCTCTGATGGAAAGAACCTACCATCATCCCCATGGCTCCAGGCCAAAGCCCCTTCAACAACAAAAGCATGTTGACAAGATGTGGACACAGCAACTGTATTCGCTGCCTTCAAGGAGCCGAAGGGGTCTCCTGGAAGGAGCACAGAGCTTTCCTGGGCACCAGAACCAACTCCCACGGTTGGGGGAAGGTGGGAAAGCAGAGTCACACACACTGAGACCTGCAGATTTGCGCAGCTGACCTCCAGCGCCTACCCACGTCTGGGATTCAGCCACATGGCCACTCGTGAAAGCCCTGTGCCACAGCCTTCAGACCTGCTGTGCCCTTCACAAGCTTCCCCTCCACCTGCAGCGCCCCCTCACCTGTCCCCACTCTTCCCCCGCCCTCCACCTGCAGCGCCCCTCACCTGTCCCCACTCTTTTCCCCACCTTCCACCTGCAG